CTTTTACAGTTATCTCCCCAAACTCCCAGCCCTCTTTCCACATGCATAGAGAAGCAGTTTAGCTCCAGCACCTTCCTCCCACAAAAGGTTCTTTCCTAAATAAATTGAATAAACCATCTGAGGAAAATGAAGACTTTTAGCTTTGGTGTTGACATTTTTTATAGTAAAACCTTTTCACTCTGTTGTGTAGGGAGCCCATAGCTTGACAGCCAGCTCCTCCTCTCACCCTAAATATAAGCTTGCCAATGAGTATGTCTCACTGATATTCACATCAGTTCAGTTTAGTTCAGTTGCCTAGCTGTGTCTGACTCTTTGCGACCCCATGGACTGCTGCACACCAGGCCTTGCTGTCCATCACCAACTCCCAGAGTTTACTCAAACTCATGTCCATTGAGTCGGTGATGCCATCCAACCATCTCATCCTCTGTCATCCCCTTCTCTTCCTGCCTTACAATCTTTCCCAGCATCAGGGTCTTTTCAGATGAGTCAGTTCTTTGCATCAGGTGGCCAAAGTATTGGCCAAAGTATTCAGCTTCAACATCAGTCCTTCCAATGAATATTCAGGACTGATTTCCTTGAGGATTGACTGGTTGGATCTCCTTGCTGTCCAAGGGACTCTCAAGAGTCTTCTCCAACACCACAGTTCAAAAGCATCAATTCTTCGGCACTTAGCTTTCTTTATGGTCCAAATCTTTCATCCATACACAACTCTTAGAAAAACCATAGCTTTGACTAGACAGATCTTTGTTGGCAAAGTAATGTCTCTGCTTTTTAATATGCTGTCTAGGTTGGTCATAACTTTCCTTCCAAGGAGCAAGAGTCTTTTAATTTCAAGGCTGCAGTCACCATCTGCAGTGATTTTGGAGCCCCCCAAAGATAAAGTCTGTCATTGTTTCCATTGTTTCCCCATGTATTTACCATGAAGTGATGGGACCAGATGCCATGATCTTACTTTTCTGAATGTTGAGTTTTAAGCCAACTTTTTCACTCTTCTCTTTCACTTTCTTCAAGAGGCACTTTAGTTCTTCTTCACTTTCTGCTGTAAGGGCAATATCATCTGCATATCTGAGGTTATTGATATTTCTTGTGGCAGTCTTGATTCCAGCTTGTGCTTCATCCAGCCCAGCGTTTCTCATGATATACTCTGCATTTAAGTTAAATAAGCAGGGTGACAAGATAGTCACGTAACTCTTGGTAAGTCTCCCATTCAGGGCAAATACTCATCAGGAAACCAGTCTACTGATACAGAAGAAGTAGAAATTCATATGACAATATAGAATAATCAACCTAAAACTTGATTCTTAAATATGAGCAGAAAACTGGGGAACACTCGATGTCTAAAAGCCACGATGATTAAAAACCTTGATCATAGAATCAAAGGGAATTTAGGAAACAGGAAAATCTTCAGAGAAATTTGAAATGATATTTTAACTTTACAAGCACGATGCTATGGGAAGAGAACCATCAGTAAGGAATAAATTTAAAGTTTATAAATTTATGAATTTAAATTTTATAAATTTAAAGTGACTAGTAGAAACATTTTTTGTTTCTTCATAAAAATAAATTCTTCAAAGTCAAGTGAAAGAAATCCCCCATAACTCAAAGAAAAACATAAAAGCTTTCATCAGTTTAAAAAAAAAAAAAAAAAAACACTTCTGTGGAGTAAATCTGGACATAGAAATTAAAGTAAGGTAGAAAATGGTTGATTTTTTTCATAGAAGTTCTCATGTGCCATTTGATTGTTCTTCCTTTTGCCATGTACATGGATCACTTTGATTTGAAATTTTTTTCCCTATGATTTTATTTTTTACCATAAAATTTTTTTCTCCCTTTTCCTCCATATTTTGGGAGACATTTTTAGGCTTTTCTGTCATATCATTGGTTCAATAAAGTGTTACTTCTGCTTTCTACTGCTTCCAACCAAGATTTTAAGTCTGCTAATCTACTTTGATACTTACTTTTACCTCATTCCTGTTTTACCAACAGGATTTTTAATTCTCTTTGGTTACAATACATCCTTTTGAATCTGTAGACATCAGGCAAGTGTCTTATTTTTTTTAATAAATATTGTGTTTTAGAACAATTTTACATTTACAGTTTCCATACTGTACCCATTTGGGTACAGTTTCCATATACCCAAACCATTTCCTCTATTAGTGACAAATTAGTATGGTACACCTATTTCAATTAATGAGATAATGAAATACTGTTTAATTAATTATATTTCAATTAATAAAATTATATTGATACATTAATTGAAGCCCATACTCTATTCATATTTCTTTAGTTTTTACCTAATATCTTTTTTCTAATCCGTGGTCCCAGCCAGGATGCCATATTTTGTTTATTTGTTTTATATCCTTAAGCTCCTTGGCTATAAGAGTTTCTCAAACTTGCCTTTAATGACCTTTATAATTTTGAGGAGTATATGTCAGGTATTTTAAAGGAAGCCTGTTTTTAGATGTTGTCTGATTATCTTTCTCATGGTTAGATTGGAGTTATGGGTTTAGATAAGGGAGATCACAGAGAGAAAAGTGCTATTTCCACCACATTGTCTCGAGGGAACATACTATCAATGTGACTTACCACTATTGATGTTACCCTTCATCACCTGATTGAAGTAGCATTTGTGAGGTTTCTCCTGTATGCGTGTGTGTGTATGCGGGTGTGTGTTAGTTGCTCAGTCATGTCTGATTGTTTGCAACCCCGGAGACTATAGCCCACCAGGCTCCTCTGTCCATGGAATTCTCCAGGCAAGAATGGAGAATGGAGTGGGTAGCAATTCCCTTCTCCAGGGGATTTTTCTGACCCAGGGATCAAACACAGGTCGCCTGCGTTGCAGGCAGATTCTTTACCATCTGAGCCACCAGGGAAGCCCTTTCTCCACTATAAATGCACTTTTCTTCCTCTCCGTAGTGTACTCATTTGGAAGGAAATCACTACAAAGAGCCCACACTCACTGGAGAGTTATGCTCTACCTCCTGAAGGGCTGAGTATGTAAATATTTGGAATTCTTCTCATGGGAGATTTGTGTATTCTTCCACATTTATTGATTGATTCAGTCATGTATATCAGTGTGGCTTAAGGGTATTTATTTTATAGTTTGGGTTATAATCCAGTATTACTTCATTCAGTTGTTCATGCTGCTCCAGCTTTGACCATTGGGAGCTCTTTCACTTAGCTTCTGTGTGCCTTTGACGTGCCCCAGTATATGTGTTTTGTTTTGTTTCTGAGCATTTCTTTACTTTCTGGCACTTTAAGATGTGCCATGCTCATCTTATATATTTCCTACCCCAGTCCTCAAATCATCCATTTGTCCATGGAATCCTGGTTCCTTTTCTTGAAGATTGGTTTTAGAAACCAAGATCTGGGAGCTAGCTGTTCCTTCTATGCCTACTCTGCTGACAGAGCAAGGAAATATATGTGTGTGTACTAACCCCTATATATCCATATATCTGTAAATATTTCTGTATGTAACCTTCTTTACCTGTATTAAGCGAAACATAAGTTCACACTGATATCTCCAGCTCTAATTCGTTACCACATGGATCGTTTGGCGTCCTTCCCTTGGTTATCTGTAAACTCCCACTCAAACACTGAGAAACCTGGCTCTCAGAAACTGCACGCCATTTACTTATTATTCAGTTCCAGCACAAGTGTATATCAGTATCAGAATTGTTCATTTCTACCTTCATGGAAAATAACTATTAACTGGAGCATGTTCTCTTTTGCCTTTAGTCTTATGGATTCTGCTTATTTCCAAGCTCCTTTTTTTCCCTGGAATGTCGTATTCTAAAATGTTTCCTTGTCCTCTAGTATTGTGTATTTTTCCTTCTATCGCACTCTCATTTCAAAGGCCTTCATATATCCTTCCCCTACGTTGTTTATTAATCCTTATTAAATATTGATTGATCTATTCAGGTGGACATTGCCAGTAGATGAGGTCAGGAAATACGTTTATGCATAAACTTTTGGCCAGATTGTAAGGTATACTTATAGGCGGACATATCTGTGTTGTGTATGATAATATATAATAATCTTTTGAGAGCTTACTATCAGCTGAGAAGTGAGGTGAGTGTTCTTTTATTCCCTATAATTCAATCAGACAGATTTTGTTACATGCATTTACAGTTGAGAAAACTCAGACTTTGGCTAAATAATTTGCTCAAGTTCATACATGTAGTTACTAGTACAGTCTGGATTTAACCTCATGTCTATGACTCCAAAGTGTGTACTCTTAGCCACTATATATTGACTATATCAGGGTTTCTTAACTTCAGAATTATTGACATTTGGGGCTGGATAGTTATTTTTTATAAGGGGATTAATGTGCACTGCAGGGTGTTTAGCAGCTTCCCTGCTGTAGCCACTAGATGCCTGTAACAGCCCCACTTGTGACAACCAGAACTGTCTGCAGGCATTGCCAGATTTTCTGTGTTGGCAGAATTGCACCTGAGAACCACTGGCCTAGCGGCTTACAATAAACTTGACTTTTGAATGGTAAATTGCATCTGGACTGGGAGAACTGTAAACCAGATGGAAAGTTGGATCTGAACTTCTCTGACTGCAGTGACTCTTATAATCAGGCATGCTTTTTTGGGGAGCTCTGACCGCTTCACTTGTAGAGTTGTTGACATTGGTCCTGTGGAAGGAACCTTCCAATCAAGATGCTTTCTGCCCAACCTACATGGGCCACATTGCCTTGCACTTGAGCTCTACTCTGTGAGAACTCCCACTAAAGAAAAATTCTAATTCCTCAGTCCTCTGCTAGCAAGCTTCATTTTCTGTCTAGTAGCCTTCTTAGTAGCTGGTGCCAAATGTGACTTGTGGTAGACTTGTATGTCTTGAATATTGGGTAGAGCCTAAGATCACCCTGTTGCACATTGCAGACTGGTTCATAGCAAATCCTAACAAATGAAAGCTTTTAATTATTATAGTCTGGGGATATACTTTTTGACCTAGATCTCATTTGTGTCTTTTTTTTTTTTTTTTTTCAGTTTCTCAGTTAAATGAATTTTGGCTGTGTGTCTGAAGCTCCTGGAACTTTTCTCACTGCATATATACATTGTACACAAGTGCTTAGCCCCAGCCTGAGAATTATTGGAATCTTCTGGTAAAACAAATTTGAACTGCAGGGGGAGTTCTGTGGAGGAAGATGCATCCTTTGAGCAAGCTGATGACTATCTCAAAACCTCATAACCTGGCTCATGAACAAAATGAGGTCCTGAGAGCAAATACGTCTTGGCAGCAGGAAACCATCCCAGTCATGGAGACAGATGACTGTGAGGCCTCTCGTCAGAAATTCAGGCATTTCCAGTATTTGGAAGTGTCTGGGCCTCGTGAAGCCCTGAGCCAACTCTGGGAGCTCAGTCTTCAGTGGCTGAGACCAGAAATTCATACAAAGAAGCAGATTCTAGAGTTATTGGTGCTGGAGCAGTTCCTGACAATTCTCCCTGAAGAAGTCAGGACTTGGGTGAATTTACAACATCCAAAGAATAGCGAAGAAGTGGTGAGCCTCATACAGGATGTGATTGATATGCTTGAAGATGAAGGTGAGAATATAGAAAATTGGAGGTAGAATAGTTGACCCTCTCCCATATGAGGAAAAATTATCCTAAAAATTTTTTTTATTTGTGTATAGTTTATGTACAATATTATATAAGTTGGAGGTTTATGATATGTTATTGTTTAGGTTATTGTTTAGTCCCTAAGTTTTGTCTGACTCTTTGCAACCCTGTGGACTGCAGCATGCCAGGCTCCCCTGACCGTTACTGTCTCCCTGAGTTTGCTCAAACTATGTCCATTGAGTTGATGATACCATCCAACCGTCTCATTCTCTCTCTCTCCCTTCTCTTCCTGCCCTCAATCTGTCCCAGCATCAGGGTCTTTTCCAGTGAGTCCACTTTTTGCATCAGGTGGCCAAAGTATTGGAGCCTCAACTTCAGTATCAGTCCTTCCAATATAGTGATTCACAATTTTATAAGATTATACTCCATTTATAGTCATTATAAAATATTGGCTATATTCCTTCTATGTATAATATATCATTGTAGCTTATTTTATATATAATAGTTTTTACCTATTAATTCTCTACCCCTTTATTGCCCCTCCCCTATTCCCTCTTCCCACTGGTAACCACTAGTTTGTGAGTCTGTTTCTCTTTTGTTATATTCAGTAGTTTGTTGTATTTTTTAGATTCCACATGTAAGTGATATCATAGAGTATTTGTCTTCCTCTGTCTGACTTATTTCACTTAGCGTAGTAACTTTTTCTGAAGCTGAATGGTATCAAGGAGAACTTTGCTATACTAGGGAGACTGAACTGAGAGCTCAGAAATTGAGTAGGCGAGTAAAACAATTTGATTTGCCTTTTGCAAATACTCTGTTGGTTTCATTGTAGAGCAGGGGTCAGCAGACCATGACCACAGGCCAGATATTTTTGGAAATAAATTATTATTGGAACACAGGTACATCCCATTTGTTCACATTTTGTCTATAGCTGCTTTCCTACTATGACTGGAGTTGATTGGTTATAGCAGAGATTGTATTGCCTGCAAAGCCTAAATAATATATTTATAATTTGGATCTTTATAGGAAAAGTTTATCAACATCTGCAATAAAGGATAGCACTGAGAGCTCTGAAAATAGAAAAACCAGTTAGGAACTATTGTAGTAGATCAGGTGTTAGAGAATGAGGAAGTATTGGGAAAACAGGAGTTTGAACCGGAAAGATTTACATATTATCTGTGAATGGGATAAATGTTCTGGCTTGCATGAATGGGGTGTTAAATAACAGATTTTGGTGGAGGAGAGATTGATATATTAATTATGTGACACATTGAATTTGAGGTCTTTGTGCGACAGCCACAATGAGTCATCTAATATGTAATTAACAATATGGCTTTAATGTTGAAGCCATTTTAGTAGAAGTTTAGTAGCTTTTGTTGCTGCTATAACATGTTACTATTAATTTTATTACTTAAAACAATATGAATTATAGTCCTACATGGCTGTAAATTAGTGGGTCTTTTTGCACTAAAATCAAGAAGGAAAAATACGTTAACTTATAGGTATGAACAGAAGTAGAAGAAATACAGATTCTTAGGAAGACTCAGTATTTAAGAGATGGTATAGATATAACTTATATGCAGAGTACATCATGAGAAACACTGGGCTGGAAGAAGCACAAGCTGGAATCAAGATTGCCGGGAGAAATATCAATAACCTCAGATATGCAGATGACACCACCCTTATGGCAGAAAGTGAAGAGGAACTAAAAAGCCTCTTAATGAAAGTGAAAGAGGATAGTGAAAAAGTTGGCTGAAAGCTTAACATTCAGAAAACTAAGATCATGGCATCTGGTCCCATCACCTCATGGGAAATAAATGGGGAGACAATGGAAACAGTGTCAGACTTTATTTTTGGGGGCTCCAAAATGCAGATGGTGACTGCAGCCATGAAATTAAAAGACGCTTACTCCTTGGAAGGAAAGTTATGACCAACCTAGATAGCATATTAAAAAGCAGAGACATTACTTTGCCAACAAGGTCCGTCTGGTCAAGGCTATGGTTTTTCCAGTGGTCATGTATGGATGTGAGAGTTGGACTGTGAAGAAAGCTGAGCGCCAAAGAATTGATGCTTTTGAACTGTGGTGTTGGAGAAGACTCTTGAGAGTCTCTTGGACAGCAAGGAGATCCACCCAGTCCATCCTAAGGGAGATCAGTCCTGGGTGTTCACTGGAAGGACTGATGCTGAAGCGGAAACTCCAGTACTTTGGCCACCTCATGCCAAGAGTTGACTTATTGGAAAAGACCCTGATGCTGGGAGGGATTGGGGGCAGGAGGAGAAGGGGACGGCAGAGGATGAGATGGTTGGATGGCATCACCGACTCGATGGGCATGAGTTTAAGTAAACTCTGGGAGTTGGTGATAAACAGGGAGGCCTGGTGTGCTGCAATTCATGGGGTCGCAAAGAGTCGGACACGACTGAGCGACTGAACTGATATATATAACTCCCTGGAGGAAGAAATGGCAACCCACTCCAGTATTCTTGCCTGTAAAATCTTGTGGACAGAGGAGCCTGGTGGGCTACATTCCATGGGATCACAGAGTCGGACATGACTGAGCACACACACGTAGCTTTAGCTACCATTATAGAAAATATAGATCTAGGTTAGAGGAATGTGTTAAACTATACCATGGGAATGCCGTTAGTAAAATCTAATTTGTCAGAAACTGCAAGACAATCCAGTTTCTAGAACAAAATTCTAAGGAAGTAGGGAGGGGCATGGAAGAGATATTTAGAGATTAAAAGAAACATGAAAGATTTGTAACTCATGTGAATGTGTGCACATTATAACAAACACATGAGGCAATGACTGGCTATTTGACTAAGAATTATTAGTTAGAAACAGTGATGATATAGGTGTTGAAGTTATATTTAGTCTTTATCTAAAAAGTAAATAAAATGAAGGACTGAGAAAAATATGAAAACTCAAAATAAGGTAAGCAGGCTAGAAAGGAGTAATCCAGAAAGTCAAAGAACCAGGCAAGATTGGTGTCTTGAGCTAAGAAAGAAGAAATCTGTAAGAAGGGATTGTTGAACACTGTTGCAACCAAAAAAAAGTCTTGTAAAAATGAGTACTGAAAATAATTGATTGAAATTGCTGATTAGATCAGTGGTCCAGCATGGGTCTGTCTGGGCTAAAATCAAGGCTTCAGCAGTTCTTAGTTTCCTTTGGGGTCTCATGCTCCCTTTCCCCCATCTTCACACTGGCCATGGTGAACTGGGTCCTTCACACACTGCCATCTCTCTGACACTCCATTCTGTTGTCACAATGTGTACTGGCACACATGCAGTTGTTCACACTCATTCTTTCACTTTCTCTGTCTTACTGACCACAGCTGGGAAGGGTTCTCTGCTTTTCAAGAATTATGTGATTTGATTGAGACCACCCAGATAATCCAGAATCATTTCTTCATCTCAAAGATCTTTAATGTTACAGAATCCCTTTTGCCATCTTATCCAAGGGTTTGGGCATAAATATCTCAAGGGGCCTATTATTCTGCCTATCACATGGGTTAAAAAAATACGAAATAGGAGGTAAGAGTGTGATAATGATTATAGACTATTCCTGAGAAGTTTAGTTGGAAAGGAAGTGAGAGGTTGCAGGGTAATACAGGACTGGGAAAGGCTTTTGGTTTCTTTTAACATGCTGTGGATCCCTGAAGAATCCACTTAAAGGGTTTGCCTTTATTTTTACCTAACTTAGATGTCTCAGGGGGGCTTCTCATGGTGGCTCAAATGGTAAAGAATCCACCTGCAATGCAGGAGACCTGGGTTCAACCCCTGGGTTGGGAAGATCCCCTGGAGGAGGAAATGGCAATCCACTCCAGGATTCTTGCCTGGAGAATCCCATGGACAGAGGAACTTGGTGGGCTACAGTCCGTGGGGTTGCAAAGAGTTGGACAGGACTGAGTGACTAAGCATACACAGACCTCTCAGGGCTGAGAGGCTACTGACTAGCATTTGTTGAAAACATTTAATGAAAACTGTATTAGCTCCTGCCACCTGGGACAGCAAATAAACAGTTGGGACAAACATTTAAACTAAACAAAAAGATTGGGAGGAAAGGTGCTTTAGGGAGGAAGGGATTTGAAAGCTCCTACAAATTCTTAGAGATCTAGGAGGCTGGGTATGTGTTCTGAAAGACCTGAGGATTCCCTGATTCTCACCTCTGTCCAGTCTTCAGGCTCTGCTCAAGCAGAGGTGATAACTATCTGGCTAAGTGTTGAAGGCATTCCCTATGCAGATAGCCCATCTACAAAGGCTAGGGAATGGTTTTGAGTTTTTTCCCCCTCCCGCAGTTCAATTCAGTTCAGTTCAGTCACTCAGTCGTGTCTGACTCTCTGCCACCCCATGGACTGCAGCACGCCAGGCTTCCCTGTCCATCAGGCTTCCTGTCCTTGATTTCAAGCATTTAAGGAAATCTCTGTGGAATCGCTAGCTAGCCACTAAGCTGACGAAACACACTTAGTGGACATAGAAAAAAAAGAATATAGGCTTAATAAAATTTTTTAAAAGTTGAAGATTAGCAATATTGATAAAAAGTTTAGCTACAATGATCAGGAAAAAAAAAAGACTAAAATCACTGAGATCGGGAATAAAGGTAGGGAGATTATTATTAAACTTGCATAAATCAAAGAGGACACTGTGAAAATTTAGATGAAATAGAAAACTTTCCAAAACGACCCAAACTGACTCTGAACCCATCTAAACCAGCTGAAGAGATTGAATCAGTAATTTTTAAAATGTCAAGCAAGTAAAAAATCTTTTTGAGGAAGTGGGTATGGAGAAAGTATGAATATATCTAAGCAACTACCAAGACTATAGTAGTGGAGAATGAGAGGAGGTGACTTTGGTGGGCAAGATCCATTTTAAATTAAAAGGGAGAAGAATATAGAAAGAGCTTGAGAATGTATCAATTTATGAATTTTTCTTTGAATGGCATGAGAGTTTCAGAGAATACAATTGTGAAGGTCAGAAAGGAGGTCAGGAGGGAAGAAGAGTTAAGGAAAGGAAATAATACTCAGTGAGAGTGATAAAATGGAGGATGGTTGATTTAAGGCTTTTGCATCTTTTCAAGATATATCTTGCATATTTCCAAGAATGACAAGACTAAAAAAACATGTGGTAGTCACTGTCCAAGGAATTATGGGATGGAGGTTTTATAAAGTTTTATAGGCCTGAATAAAGTTCAGTTCAGTCGCTCAGTCGTGTCCAGCTCTTTGCAACCCCATGAACCTTAGCACGCCAGGCCTCCCTGTCCATCACCAACTCCCGGAGTCCACCCAAACCCATGTCCATCGAGTTGATGATGCCATCCAACCATCTCATCCTCTGTTGTCCCCTTCTCCTCCTGCCCTCAATCTTTCCCAGCATCAGGGTCTTTTCAAATGAGTCAGCTCTTTGCATCAAGTGGCCAAAGTATAAGAGTTTCAGCTTCAGCATTAGTCCTTCCAATGAACAGCCAGGACTGATCTCCTTTAGGATGGACTGGTTGGATCTCCTTGCAATCCAAGGGACTCTCAAGACGAGTCTTCTCCAACACCACAGTTCAAAAGCATCAATTCTTCAGTGCTCAGCTTTCTTTATAGTCCAACTCTCACATCCATACATGACCACTGGAAAAACCATAGCCTTGACTAGATGAACCTTTGTTGGCAAAGTAATGTCTCTGCTTTTTAATATGCTGTCTAGGTTGGTCATAACTTTCCTTCCAAGGAGTAAGCGTCTTTTAATTTCATGGCTGCAATCCCCATCTGCAGTGATTTTGGAGCCCAAAAAAACAAAGTCTGACATTGTTTCCACTGTTTCCCCATCTATTTCCCATGAGGTGATGGGACCAGATGCCATGATCTTAGTTTTCTGAATGTTGAGCTTTAAGCCAACTTTTTCACTATCCTCTTTCACTTTCATCAAAAGGCTCTTTAGTTCATCTTCACTCTCTGCCATAAGGGTGGTGTCATCTGCATATCTGAGGTTATTGATATTTGTCCCAGCAATCTTGATTCCGGCTTGTGCTTCTTCCAGCCCAGTGTTTCTCATGATGTACTCTGCATATAAGTTAAATAAGCAGGGTGACAGTATACAACCTTGACATACTCCTTTTCCTATTTGGAACCAGTCTGTTGTTCCATGTCCAGTTCTAACTGTTGCTTCCTGACCTGCATACAGGTTTCTCAAGAGGCAGGTCAGGTGGTCTGGTATTCCCATCTCTTTTAGAATTTTCCACAGTTTATTGTGATCCACACAGTCAAAGGCTTTGGCATAGTCAATACAGCAGAAATAGATGTTTTTCTGGAACTCTCTTGCTTTTTTGATGATCCAGTGGATGTTGGCAATTTGATCTCTGGTTCCTCTGCCTTTTCTAAAACCAACTTGAACATCTGGAAGTTCACGGTTCATGGATTGCTGAAGCCTAGCTTGGAGAATTTTAAACATTATTTTACTAGCATGTGAGATGAGTGCAATTGTGTGGTAGTTTGAGCATTCTTTGGCATTACCTTTCTTTGGGATTGGAATGAAAACTGACCTTTCCCAGTCCTGTGGATACTGCTGCGTTTCCAAATTTGCTGGCATATTGAGTGCAGCACTTTAACAGCGTCATCTTTCAGGATTTGAAATAACTCAGCTGGAATTCCATCACCTCCACTAAACAGACTATAATCTTATGGCAACATTCAGATGACATGTTGCTGAAATTTTGGGGTTTTTTTCCCTCGATTCTGCCTTTTATTTATAAAGTGTCTCATAAATATTTCTTGCCTTGTTTCTGTTTTTTCTTATTTCACCCTGAATCAATAAGGGTGAAGTACTTAGAGACCAGTGCTGGTCCATAGTCTGGCATTTGAGGATTAGTGGTGTAACTAATGAATCTTGGAGTAACATTAGAAAGTAGCCCTTGGGTATATGTCTTACCAAAGGGCTGGAGGACAGAAATGGTTGCTGCAAAGATTTTTATGTCATGGAAGAGTCATGAAGTCTGTGTGTAGTATACACAAAGCAACTTAGAGGAAAAAAATCCTTGAGCAGAGTAATCCCCAGTGTCTTTAAGGAAGTGATTGGTTAGGTAAAATATTCTTAGCTCCCAGTAGAATTAACAGCCTGTGGTGGCTAAGCCTTAGTTATGATTTAGTTTTGACAAGATTAAAGTTATTATTATTATTATTATTTGATCTGCTATAACCACAGATGAGGCATCAAAGTATTATTTTCCCTCTTCTCTCTGATCCAGTAGTTCTCCAGCCCTGGTAGACTATCAGAATCACTTTTAGACCTTTTTAAAACTGTAAGATCTGGGACTTCCCTAGTGGTCCAGTGGTTTTAGACTCCTCGCTTCTACTGCAGAGGCTGTGGTTTCGATCCCTGATTCAGTGAACTTAAGATCCTGCATGCTGCATAGTGCAGTCAAAAAGTAAATAATAATAATAATAATTAAATAAAAATCTGTGCCCCACCCTTGGAGATTCTGGTTGCTGGTAGAACTTGACATTTTCTTCAAGCTTCTGAAGTAGCATGCTGAAACTGCTATAATTATTAGAAGTTTCTCCAGGGAAAAATGTTTCTCCCTAATGTTTTCTTCATCTTTAGGTATAACCTGCAAGGATTCTGTCCTACATCAGAAAGGGAGCTTCAAGAAAGAGAAAATGGAAGCTGACTTGATAACAGGCAAATCCCAGGTAAATTAGGATTCCAGTCTTTATGGAAACATCCTGCCTTTTCTCTTTTGGTCTTTGAACTTTTGCCAAACATAAAGGCATGACTGTTATTTTCCCACAGGACACTGGATCCATTTTAGCTGATGATACACTTTTTGGAAAATATTTAATCTTGTATATTTTCTGTGCATCTATGCCCTCAAGATTGTAGATGATAACTGAAACTGTAGGCATAGGGCCTCCCCAGGGAATGTTTAGAATTCAAAGTGAAGAGAACCAAGGGCAGAATCCTGAGCAATGTCAATTAATAGGCAAGAGCAGAAGAAACCACAAAGGATACTGAAATGAAGGGACCAAAGTTGTAGAGGAAAACCAGGACAATATGATGTCACCTTGAAAGCAAAGGATGAGCATTTTCAAGTATATTTCATATTTCAGTTCTTCAAAAGTTCAGGAAAGTACAGCTAAGTAGTGTCTGTTCTCTTAGCATCATGGAGATATATGCATGCCTGGGAATAGAAGCCAGATTGTTGAGGGTTGAGAAGAGGAAAAGTGAGGCAGAACACAGGTAGGCAACTGATTCACAAAGACTGGCTCTGAGGTAGAGGACAGTTTGTGTGATTTGTATTTCAGTGTGATTAATGGTGCCTAGAAGGACAAGGTTAAGAGTGCTGAACAGAGAAGTGCAACAACTAATGGGATGAGGGCTTTTATAATAAGTATTTTTGCAGTGCCTAACATTTCTGAGGGTTGAGACTATAACAGTAAACAAAACAAAACACCTGCCTTTGTGGTGATTATATTCTAGTAGAAGTAGACAGACAAATACAAGCAAATGAGATAATTGCAGATAATAATAATTATTACAGAGAAAATAAACATAACCCTGTAGACTGATTAGGAAGAATGCTACTTTGTTGGATAATCAGAAAAAAAAAAAATATTTAACAGAGTGACATTGGGCTCTGAGACCTGAAGGATGAGGCATTAAAAGATTGCATTTCCCAATTAGAGATGCTCCCTCTTTTGCTAGCAGAGCCTACATCTTCATTACAAATTTCCCACAATTCTACCTTAAACTCTTCTTATTCTGAACTCTTTCTATGTAAGTTATTTGTACTCTATAGTAATTTTTTGTTCCACAGTTATTCCGACTGTTTTTTTCTCTTCAATTAAAATACAAGCTAATGTAGAGTTAGTTCGGCCCTTCATTTTCCTTTTGCAGCCCTCACAGAGTACCAAGTTGATAGCCCCCTGATGTAACTTGATTTTTTATGACTTAGAACTCCCAACACTGTCCTATCAATCATTTTTGTATGTTGTGACCACCTACCTTATTCTTTCTGAATTCATTTCTTCTGTAGTAATACTGATATTTTGGAGACCTTTAATTAAACAGGAACTTAATGTTTTAGGAACCAGTGAAATTCAAAGATGTGGTTGTGGAATTCAGCAAGGAAGAGTGGGGGCAACTGGACCCTGATGTAAAGACCCTGTACAGGCGTGTGATGCTGGAGAACTACAGGAACCTGAATTCACTGCATAAAGGTGGTATCTGTGTATTTACCTGATCTGCCCTTTAGTAGTCTCCTCATGTGTGCGTGTGTGCTGTCGCTTCAGTCGTGTCCAACTCTGTGCAACCCTGTGGACCGTATGTAGCCTACCAGGCTCTTCTGTTATGGGGATTCTCCAGGCAAGAATACTGGAGTGAGTTGCCATGCCCTCCTCCAGGGGGTCTTCCTGACCCAGGGATCCAAGCCTCATCTCTCACGTCTCCTGCATTGTTGGGCGGGTTCTTTACCACTAGCACCACCCGGGAAGCCCAGTAGTCTCTTCATCTTCTGTTAGAAACTACAGGACTGCTGAAGTGGTTGAGGGCATTTGAGTTTGGCTTTAGATTTTCTAATAACTTTTGGGAACAATTGCAGATGTTTTTGCTGAATGTGATTAAAAGTCCTTTCTGATGTAGAGCTAGAAATATACAGGTTCACTGGCCTTATCTTTTAGCAGCTCAGAGACCACTACTTTGGGGTGGAATTCTCTTCCCTATAAAAATGTCTGAAATGTCTTTTTTTCCTTTTCCCCATGAAAAGAGCATCTACTTTCCAAGCCAGTTGAGACCTCCAAGTTGGAGAGTAAGAAAGAAAGTTGGATAATGGAGCAAGAAATCCCAAGAACAGCTGTTGCTGGTAAGAATCAGGCAGATCTGAGGCATTTGTGAGAAGCTTCTGTTCATTAAATACACAGATAATGTATCACCCAGTTTCAGTTGGGTTTGAGTTGATAGTCAGGAGGTGACAACAAACCAGCTAAACTTTGAAGAAAAAAAGTCATTGCTTTTCATTCACAGACTGTTTTTTTCTTATGTGAACAGGCGAAACAGTGGTGTGGGTTAGAAACACAGACTTCTTATTTTTTTTTAATTGATGTGTAGTTGATTTACAATGTTGTATTAGTTTCTGCTGTACTGAAAAGTGATGCAATTAGGCATGCATATATATCAAAATATATCCTCAGTATCAAAATTATTATATCTGTTAAGGATTTAGTAAGATGGCCAGATATAAAGTAAAAATATTAGTAGGTTTTCTACATCTTAGAACTAAGTGACTTGAAAATAACAAAATGCATGAAAGTGATTTTTTTAAATAGGAGTAAAGAAGTTACATGAAAAATGAGTTGTACAAATGTTAGGAGAACACAGTTAAGGAAATACAACCAGGAATTTTGCTGTTCAATAAATACTGCTAGAACAATTATGGTTTTGATCATCTATTACTTCTAACAGATCATCCTAAAACTTAGTGACTTAAAAGTTATCTTAGTAATTCTCACAATTTTGTGAGTTGACTTAGGAATTCTTACATTCCATATGATGTTGACTGAGGATGCAGTGTTCCCACTTGAGTGGGATGGAATGGCCAAGATGACTCATCACATAGCTGGAGGTTGATGCAGGCTGTCATGGGAATTTTGCTAGTGCTGTGGACCAGAATACCTGTACCTGGCTTCCTGAGGCAAGGACTCCTCACAGCACAGAAGCCAGACTCTGAAAGGAAACATCCTGAGAGGAATTGGAAGCTGTCAGTCTTCTAAAGGCTAGGTCCAGAAGTAGTCTAGTATTACTTACACTGCATTTCTGTTGGCTAAACAGGGACAGGATCAACCCAAATTCCCGGGGAAGAAAAAAAACACTAAAAAACACTGCACTTCTCTATGAAGAGCATATCAGAGAACGTGCCATAATTTTGATCTGTTGTAGTTTGTCCTCTGACCACAAATTGACTTCATTTTCCTCGTTAATTACATTTACTGTCTCCTCTGATGTCATCTCACTATGACATCAAGTTTGAAGTCCAGAAACTCATTCTGTGAGTTAAGTCCAGGTTTGGAAGAGATTCCTCTCACTCTGAAAACCTGTGACTTCAAGGATCAAGTTATCTGCTCCCACACATCCAACATACACTGGTGAGGTAGACAGGAAAACTGCAGTCAGTATTTCCAGTATATGCCTAGGCTCCACCCTAGGAGATTCTGATTTAATAGTCTGCTTTCTAGCCTGGGCATTGTATAGACAAATGATGATTTTGCCTAGAAATTAGCGTAAAGGAGGCTGAATTGATATATACGTGACAAAGCTGGATGTATCAGTGGGAGCTGCTTTGAGGTGAAAGTCATTTCATCAAGTAAAACAGTATTAACTAAGGACAGATTAGATGTGAGAGATGAAGAGCCATGGTTATTCAGGTTTTCTTTATAAACTCCAGTGTAAACGTTAAAAGACCAGTGACTCATTGAACAAAAACAAGGATGTCAAGGGAAGCTGTTTCCACATGGAGCGAGATAGTTTCTCATTTGTTGAGTTTTGGAAGAGAGTAGGGATAGTCAAGTGGAGATCTCCTAGAAACTGTGAAACTGCAAAGCTGAAGATCTTACTTAGCTACTGATAAATCATGGAAGATAAACAGTGTTAGACATATCTGAAATTATGTGGAAAAAGAGAAAGGTCATTTAAATTTAATTTTTTTTTAATGCTAGAATGCACAGTGTACTGGGTATATATATACACAGAAACTAAGTGAAAAAGGAATTTTGAGAAGGGAAGTGAAACTTTATCAAAAGAAATAGAGAAACTAAAGAGAGGTGAAAAGATAAAAGCCAACGTGAATCAGTTTGAGTCCTAAGAAACACATAGAAAAATATTGGAGCACTTTTAGAATCAGGAGTGATTTTGCACCCAGAATAAGAATAGTTTCCATGCTATCATATATTTTAGTTCTTTCTGACTCTGTTAAATACAGGGATTAATTGCTGCTGTAAGGATAATAGGGGCACTATGATTTCAGGTTTGCTTTCAGATGGTTAAGGTACGGGGCCTATAAATTTAGACATGTTCCTAAAGAAATGATTAAATTGGTATTCTAGAATACCAATTATCACTGAAACAGCTTGGGTTAAAAGAGACAAGTTACTGGAGAAAACAAGATTAGATATAACTTTCACAGACTAGTTATGAACCAGTGATGGCTTGAAATGTGATATGCCATGCCATCTCAGTATATGTACTGATATTCTGCCAAGTTCTGTGTATCCTCCTTAGTATTCCTAAATAGCTCTCCTCATATTTTATGATCTCCTCATCCTCTTTTTAATATTTTTATCTCATTTATTTCTTCTATAATCCTTGTTTTCTAACCCCACCTCACATTTCAATTCTGTATTTAAAGAACCATAAGATATGTATATACACTTATGTGGCTTAGCATTCCTTTCCTAATTAAGCAATTTTTCTTCCAGTTCATGGAATTTTTTCCTTATTTTTAGACAGGGAGAGAATTTCAGAAAATCAGGAATTAGTCCCAAAACAGAGGATTTCTGGAGAAAAATCATCCCATGCAGTGATTATGACAAGACTGACCGAAGGTGGACATTTTCCTTTAGATGTCTGGAACAGTGATGACTGGTTATATAGGAATCAGGAACCCTGGGACATAAATTTGCCACAAGAAGTTTTCATTCCTAATATAGTCTACACTGAGGAGGGAGACTTTGAATATAGTGAAAATAAGGTAAGCTCTGATGTTAAGTCAGTTAACTCAGTTTTTGATACACAACAGGGAATTCCTATAAGAAAGGATTCCCCAAAATGTGATCAGCTTAAAACTAACTTTGAATTTAATTTAGACTCAGTAGGTAAGCAGCATTCAGAATATAATAAGTGTGGAAGTGCCTTGAGCCTGAGTACAGATATTCAGCACCCCAAAAGTCATACCATAGTGAATTTCTATAAATGTTATCAGTGTGGAAAGGCCTTCAGCCGCAGTTCATCCCTCATTCGACATCAGATCATTCACACAGGAGAGAAACCCTATAAATGCAGTGAATGTGGAAGATGCTTCAACCGACGTACAAACCTTACTAAGCATCAAAAAATTCACGCTGCAACAAAAGCCTGGGAAGGCAATCAGTGTGGAAAAGCCCTCAGTGAGCATGAAGGCAGTAATAAAAATCCAGGACTCCGTTCTGCAGATAATCTCTATGAATGTGTTAAGTGTGGAAAATCCTTCACCCGTAGCTCCTCACTTATTCGACATCAAGTGATTCATACAGGAGAGAAACCATTCAAATGTAAAGAATGTAAGAAAACCTTTAACAGAAGTTCAAACCTGCTTAAACACCAAAAAATTCATACTTGAGAGAAGTCCTGTGATAGCAACAATGTGGGATTCCTTCAGTCAGAGTGCAAAACTCTTCAAAGTCTGTGAATTTCTTCTGGAAGGAATCCTGTGAACATAGTAAATGGAAGAAAATATTTGTCAGAGAGTATTCTTTAATTGACATGACTGAATTAATACTGGAGGTAAACTGGATGGAAATCTGAGGGAGCTTTTCCAGGTTTCATATGAAGCCATAAGGGTTCGGAACTAAACACAGCAACGTGGTAGTGTTTGTCATTATTCTGATGTCCATTTACCACCATCTCTCCCTGGTTCATAAATGAAACCTACGGAATACTTACATTTACCTGATCTATTGATGAAGTAGATATTAGGGTGGAGCCAAGCAATACCCTTGGAGTTGACATTTATTAAAACTCAAACTTTTCAGTCCTTATAAGAAGGTCACAACAACCAGGAGCTCATGAAAATATAGAAGGACACTTCTAAGAACTGACTCTGAATTAATGCAAAGACCACAGAGACTGCCAGTTACTCCACCCGTGGTGATGTCCTTGGGTGTCCTGGTGCTGAGTGGGGCCTGGAACTGGAAGAGTATTATCAGCTGCAGTGGTGGGTAGATATGTTGTTAATCTACATGTGTTCTCAATATCTGCATTTGTTAAAGTACTCTGGGATCTAGGCTTGGAGACATCCATAACCCTAAGGCTGTCATTTATCCCAAACATTAAAAGGTCAATGGAGTCCTAATACTCTGAGTACCAGAACTGCCTCTTTCTTCTATAAGTTGCCTTGGGATCCCAGAGGATTCTTGAACCAAGATGCTTATGTTAGTTTTCCCCCAAAGAAACACTGGAGACATGCCCAATGAATGTTGATGGTGGCTTTTGTCAGGGTTCATACCTTATCCAAAGGCAGAAAATGTATTCTGGAGTGAACCCCTCCCTACAATGAGTTAATAAATGTGAAACATTATTCTGTGTTCATTTGTTCATCCTTTACACCACAAGCCGTTAAATTAAGACAAATCCCTACAGAAGTAATTGATAGGATTCTCCACAAATTGTCTTTTATTTATATGAATTTCCCGAACAAAAGCAAAACACTCCAAACATAAGAAATTCTTGAGGTACAAACATAAGAAATTCTTGAGGTACATAGTTCAGTCATTCATCAAAGCAATGACACGTTTAATATAATGGATTATGACATTCTCATTTTAGGCATTCTGAGTCTAATAGTTTACCTTTTTTATAAGCTATTTTCTTTTGGGTAATTGAAAGATAAAAGTATTATTTTCATTTTTTATCTTTTTTTCTCAGGAGCTATTTGGGCCTAAGTAAAATGCTTATTTTTTTCTCCTAGATCTCTAAGCTTTCCAAAAAATAAAAGATATGTATACTATTTACTAAGTTAAACATACTTAGCTCCAAAGAAAATCATAGATTTAGTAAGTGAATTTAGATATACTACATACATCCCACTTCCCTCAAAAAAATACCTTGAATAAATGGGAATATGTTTCCAGATGAGAAGATTATTGTAAAGATGTTGAATCTCCCCACATTAAACTATTAAATTTTAATTAAACATTTCATTGGGAAGATTGCTTTCACAAAGTGATGTAAGGTTTATTTTGTAGAAGTAACAAGTTAAAATAACTGAACCTTTTTATTGAAGAGGGGTGATAATAGGAACCTTAGTAACATAGCATGGTACTAATCTAAGAATTGAAATCTCTGGAACAGAACTGTAACTAGACCCAGATGTTTGTAAGAATTTAGTATATCATAAATTATCACTTCACATTGATGTGGAAAAAAACTAGTTAATATTGCATTTATATCATGCAGGTACATTCATTAGGTGAATTTATAATGTAGGTTGATATTTATTAAAAGCAAAAATTAAAAGTTGAACATCAATGAAAACTGGTCTAAAAAGTGAACTGTCAATTCATGAAAAAAGGATAACCAATAAACATGGGAAATACTGTTTTTACTAATAATAAAAACATAGCATTTGGTGCTCCTAACATATGAAAGGAATAATAAAGCTTAATTTTAACAAGACTGTCAAGAAACGGCAACTATAACCATTGGCATAATGGTTAGCCAAATGGCAACTAATAACCACTAACAACAGTGTAAATAATTACTACCTTTCTGGAGAGCCAATTTGACAACCTGTATGAAGAACCTTTAAAAAGAATACATTGAAGGGAACAGGTCAGGAGTTAAGGATTCAGGAACCTCAGGAATGCATGATTTTCCCTAGAGGGCAGGCTGCACAGGATCACAATCTACAACAGAAAAGCACAGAAGAGCTGCAGAAAGGACCAGGCATCCAGCCTATAAAGTAAGGGGGTAATTGCAGAGCTCAACCTGAGAGAGCGAAAAACAGGTATGATTCAAGAACCACCCGACTCAGCAACAGCAGCAGGAACAGCAGCAACAATCAGTGAGGGACTAGGTCAGAGATGAGCTGGGGGAGCACATCACTCGGGCTCTCTGATGTCTACTTAAATATAACAGTAATCACTTAAATATCTGTCCATCTGCTTCATATTTAGGGAGCTGTGATCAAGTTTTCATTGGCACAGATTCCTCTGGATCAGAACACTGATAACTCCTACCTGCCCATAACTTAACTGCAGTAATTATGATCCTTTTATATAATTATCATTAAGAAACCCATTTCCATTGCAGCAGTTTTCACTATCATCTCCAGCCTAGACAGACACTGCAAAACTCTTCAAGAATGTCTTTGCACCTTTTTCAAAACATCTCTTATCTTTGGAGAAGAGAGTAATAATCCATTCCAACATTCCATCACCCTGTACCTCTGAACACTGTTCCCTGTGGTATTTGAGAAGTTATTAGAAGTAGGCCCAATTTGATTCCAGGTTTTAATTATCCAGTTTAACAGAATAGGTTGTTTTCTTGTGTTTAAAGCAACACATTAAACTCCAGGCCCCAGATGTTTGCACCCATGACAGTGAATTCAACCCAAATGTAATTTACATTTGGTCCATCTTAGAATTGACTCCCACATTTTCTTTTGTGGCTCTTGCTAATACAGAGATCTGTATTACAGTGCTAACAGGTATCTCCTCTAGGAGCAGGGAATGCTCTCATTTTTTCTGTCACTGCTAAGTTGAGATATAAGTCTCATTATGGGCCTGGAACCAGTGACAGTGGTGGGGGTGAGTACTGGAGAGGCGTGATATCAGCTTGTGAGGCAAATGCTCCAGGTGTAGTTAGGGGTAAGCTTGAATGGAGTGGAGGTGTGACATGTTCAAATAAGTAGATAAGGGATACTGTTTCATTGAAGAGAGGTTCTGAGGAATGGGGTGGCCGTGTTAGCCTCATCAGTTTCTACCCAAGTGCCTGTCCATTGTTCTTCACCAGTTTTCTTAACCGTATCTCATACCAAGTTCTGAATTTAATTGATGCTGCAATTCTGCAACCATTTCAATCAGAGTGGGGTTCAATCCTTAGTCATATTTGCCTTGCAGCTGTTGAAAGTCAGAACTACTTCAAAATTTCCAGGGTCCTCCTGGTGATCCTCTTCTGGTTCTGAATTGTATGCTCACAGCTCTTGGTTGCTCTTGTTCTCTGTGTTTATCCTCTAAGGTGACAGAAAATCCAGATGGCTCCACATCTTTAAAATCATTTTCACCATAGCAACTGAATGCCATGGCCACTTGATCGCTCAACACCTTGCCCTCACCTGCACTTTTATTCACTTCTACCACTATTGATAATTGGAGAAATCTCTATGCCCTAAAATTATTTCCACCCCCAGCAAGGAGGTTGTCTCTGTGCTGCTCCTAGCAGCCCAATGAACCCCATTTAAAGGATCTATTCTGTATGTCCACATTGGTCCCAGTAAATATTTCAGTCTGGGTCCTAGCAGGAAACAGATTTTAATTTTAGAAAAATCTGATGACAGCTTGACATTATAGGACTATTTAGGAGGTATGGACAGAGTTTAGGGAAACCCCCAAAAATAGGGAAGTATTCCAGGGGTAGTAACAAGGGGACAACTTATTGCTAGACCTGCCTGAAGAGGCAAGAGGAAGGAGAAGCTAGAAGGAGGTCATGTAAAGGCGGTACTTTGGTAAGAAATGTGACTTCAAATCTAGAAAAGTAGCCTGTCAAAACCATCCCTCCAGTCTGTCAGGGCTCCCCACTGGCCAAGCCTAGTCAAAGCCGGAGTGCTAGGGGAGCCTATTAATACAGTCCATTTAGGTCAGTCTTCTCATGTTAGAGAAGGATAAAGAGTGGATTTAGAAAGGCAAACGGAAGACATCCTGGCAATGGACAGGATCCAAAATGATCTGATGAGAGACTTTTAGTGGACCTCAGTCTTTCTGGATATATCTGTGATATATATAGGGTGTCCAGATCTCCTTGGACTGGCTTCTGTACCCAGTTGGATTATCTGTAGCATAAATAGAAGTGGTTTTGTTTGTTTTTGAGATACAGTTGACATATAACAGCTTCAGGTTTACAACATGATGGTTCATTATTTGTATATATTGTGACGACCACAAGAAGACTAGTTAACATTTGTCACTGCACGTAACAAATTTTTTTTCTTATAATGAGAATTTTAAAAATTTACGCTTAGCAACTTTGAAATACACAATACAGTATTGTTAACTATAGTCTGTCCATACTGTACATTATATCCCCAAGACTTATTTATAACTGGAAGTTTGTGCCTTTTAACCACATTCATTCATTTCACCCATTTCCCACTCCGTGACTCCTGTTGACCACCAATCTGTTCTCCGTATCTGTGAGTTTGTGGAGTTTTGTTGTTGTTTAGGGGTGGTTAATTTTTTTTTTTTTAAGATTCCATATATGAGTGAGATCATACAGTATTTGTCTTTCTGTGTCTAACCTATTTGCCTTATAATGCCATCAAGACTTCCCAGGTGGTGCTAGTGGTAAAGAACCCCTCTGCCAGTACAGTTGATATAAGAGACATGGGTTCAGTCTCTGGGTTGGGAAGATCCCCTGGAGAAGGAAATGGCAACCTGCTGCAATATTCTTGCCTGGAAAATTCCATGGATAGAGAAGCCAGGTAGGCTACAGTCAATAGGGTTGCAAAGAGTCGGACACAACTGAGTGCTCACAATGCCATCAAGATCCAGCTGTGTGGTTGCAGATGGCAAGATTTCCTTCTTTATGGCTGAATAATATTCCATTGTGTATAAATATGCATACCACATTGGACACTTAGGTTGCTTCCATGTCTTGGGTATTGTCATTAAAGCTGCTGTGAATATGGGAGTGCAGGTATCTTTCTGATTTAGTGTGTTGTGTTGTTTTTTGGCTAAATACCCAGAAGTGGAATTGCTAAATCATAACGTAATTCCATTTGTAATTTTTTTTTAATTTTTTTTTCCATTTTTTATTAGTTGGAGGATAGTTACTTTACAACATTGCAGTGGTTTTTGTCATACATTGAAATGAATTAGCCATGGATTTATATGTATTCCCCATCCCGGTCCCCCCTCCCACCTCCCTCTCCACCCAATCCCTCTGGGTCTTCCCAGTGCACCAGGCCTGAGCACTTGTCTCATGCACCCAACCTGGGCTGGTGATCTGTTTCACCCTAGATAATATACATGTTTCGATGCTGTTCTCTCGAAACATCCCACCCTCGCCTTCTCCCACAGAGTCCACAAGTCTGTTCTATACATCTGAGTCTCTTTTTCTGTTTTGCATATAGGGTTATCGTTACCATCTTTCTAAATTCCATATATATGTGTTAGTATACTGTAATGGTCTTTATCTTTCTGGCTTACTTCGCTCTGTATAATTCTATTTGTAATTTTTTGAGGAACCTCCATACTGTTGTCCAACAGTAATGGCTGTACCTATTTACATTCCCACCAGCAGTGCACAAGGGCTCCCTTTGGTCCACATCCTTGCTAATATTTGTTATTTCTTGTCTTTTAGATACCCATTCTAATAGATGTGAGGTGGTATTTCATTGTGGTTTTGAGCACATCTCCTTGATGATTATTGATGTTAAATACCTTTTCATGTACCTTTTAGCCATCCATTTCTTATCTTTGGAA